TTCTGAAAATAAAGAGCCCTCTCTACCAGCAGGTGGAGGTATGGAGCAACAATCCAAAAGTCCTGCTAAAGAAAAATATAAGCAAGAGACAAGTTCAATGTCAGTCACAAAAATCAGTGGCACAGATCCCTTGCAAAGGGAATCATCAACTGCACACACTATCCCCTGTTATAAGCTTCTGTATGCAGGCTTATGAAAATGCAACTATAATGGTAACAATAATTTGGAATAATGCACATTTACAAAGAGATGGTGGATATATAAGTGCCCTCATTAATAAAGTACAGGACATACAAATGAGATTTCACAAAAGAATAAACGCAAAAAAAAGGAAGAATAAGTACAAATAGTACAAACATCATTCCTGAAACCACATATTCTTGCTTACTGTAATTTATAAGAAACTCAGGGTACCATAGTACATCTACTACAGTAAAAGTGTAATATAATATATAACTGGACATGAAAGGGATGTGATCCTCCTGCCTCAGCTTCCCAAGCTCCTGGGATTACAGGCATGCACCACCACACCCGGCCCAACCCAGTGATTCTATAGACCTTATCAAACAAATGTAAAGTTATTAAGTTTTTTGTACAACAACAAAAACCTAAAAACACAAATTTATGTTCAACATTTGGTAAATGTGTTGCTGACAGATCAACCTGACATACCTCTAAAGATCATTAAGTAATGATCTATACATCTGCTCTGCCAATATAGTAGCTACTAGCTATATGTAGCTATTTAAATAAATAAAACTAAACTGAAAATTAACTTCCTTAGCATACTAGCCAAATTTCACTACCTACATATGGCAGTGACTTTCATACTGGATAGTGCAGAGAACATGCCCACCATCACAGAGGTTCTATTCAATTGTGCTAATCTACATATTACATACCCATGCGGGTGATCCTTTCTTCTATTCCCCCTTGCATTGGACCAATTTTGTCTAGAAACACCTGCTTAACCTGTGGTCCTTAGCAGAAGTCTCAACTACTACATGAAGCTACATCTAATTTATCCCAAATATTTTGGTGTACCTTCCTTGTAGTTTCATCATACCTTGGTAACACCAATACACTAGTTATACCACATATAATCCTACCTTTTCCCCCTCATAATCCTGTAAGCTTCTTGAAGAAGGAACCAATTCTTATCCAAGGGACTTTGGGTCCAAGGGGAACATTCATAATTTATCCTATACTACAAACACTGCTAAAGACAGGAGAGAACAAACACAATGACTACAATGGGAAGTTTGTATGCATAAGGAAGGTAAGGCATACAAAGGAAAACCTGGCTAGGAATGGCAGGGTCACAAGGAATTTTTTTTCCTTAAACCACCAATTCTTTACCTTTTTTTCACACTTAATAAAAGGCGTCTCATAGATGTTCTATGAATAAATATTTGTGATATAGTTTCTTTTAAAAAAGACAAATGCTAAATTAGAATTCAAATTTGGCTTATTATGGTATTAAAAACGCATCTTTTCATGTTAAGTCCCAATATTTTGTTCAATAATACTTGTTTTTTATGATATAGTTTAAAAATTAAACCTCAAAAGTCCAACCTAAATAATATTTGTTTCCAGTATATAGAAAATTAGACTGAAATAATTCTCCAAGTGCAGTGCTCTGACATCCCCATCAATACATAGCTCAACCACCACATTTCCTTAGCATCTATCTATGTAAAGCATCAGTGATGAACAAGACACAATTTCTGTCTTATCAATAGTTTTTCCCCCCTAAGAACAAACTTGCTTCTGAAGGATAAATGTGTCTGAAATGAATTCAGCTATCAACAATAGATATCCCAAAATTGCAAAGAACAGAGTTCACTTATTATCTTTACTAATCAAATAATTTTAAAAACTCACATTAACCACTTGAAAAGGTAGTATACAACCTGACTGGAAACAAAAAGTTAATGCCTCGTTTACCTGGAATCCTTAGAAGAGTTAGTATTCCACATAAATGAATTTTCCAGATACTTTCCAAGTATATCCATTTAAGCACCAATACTTAAAACTGTTTGGTATGAAAATCTTTTTTTTTTTTTAGTACAAATCTTTCAACGTTTAAAAACAGACTTTACTAGGCAATATTTTGACTAATAACTATTATTCAAATAATTGTTATGTCAATGCCTAGTAGCCAATACTCAAGCCCTAAACTAAAGGTCCCCAGGGTATCTTTTTAAAACTTTGCAGGCTTGGAAGAGTATTACTTACCATTCCTAGTTTTTGCTATGTCTGCTGTCAACCTCTGCTGGTATCAGTGCAAATGGCCATAGCTGCCTCTCATCCCACAACTAAGAAAAATTTGTCTAAATCTAAGAAACTTTGAGTGGATCTCCAATTCTATTTTGGTTCCTCAGAGTCTTTTTCTGCTTATTTCCTGGATCTATTAGTCTCTAATAACAAGTTCTAAACCAAATTTTGGATAAACAAGTAACTGCTTTATTTTGATGTCCTTACATTTTTTTTTCAAATTTAAAACTGATGATCAAAGGTGACAAAATTATTTATTCACTCATTCAACAAATATTAATTACCTGCTATGAACTGAACTGAGATCCAAAACGATGGCAAAAATAAAGAACTAAAAAGGACTGCTAGTTTTGAACCGATTTTAATGTAGAAAAAATAAAAATAACTTCTACTTAATGTATTAAAAATAATTTTAAGTCTCTTAAATAAAATTATAAAACTGCCTAAACATTTTATAATTTCTATACTGTGGTTTTAGGAACTAAAGACTCCAGGGTAAAGAAAACTTTTTATTTAATCAAATACTTATTTTATAGAGCTCTAAATAAGATTTCAAGGTTTCCTACTTCCTTTTTTCTATTACAAATTCCTTTCCATCCCCAAAAAAGTCAATATCAACATAAACTTTATAATTAAATAATATGCAAGGGCAGCCTGGGGTCGTAGCTCAGTGGTAGAGCTCTTGCCTAGCATACGTAAGGCACTGCCTTTGATTCTCATCACCACTTTAAAAAAAAAAAAAAAAAAGTCCATTGACAACTAAAAATATATTTAAAAAAAATATGCAAAGCCTTGATAATGATAAACATACATCTCAGCATCCTGAAGTCTAGTATCAATGTTAATTTGTGAAATTTTCTGTCCAACGTTTGAGAAGCTCCTTTATATTATTTTTAGGATTTGGAAACTTTTTTAAACATTTTCATTAACAAAATATGATGTGTAACCCTACAATATTTATCTGCCACAGTCATATTTTTCTAATTCTGTTACCCATTTAAATCCAAATCCAGAAAATAAATCAACAAAAAGTGTAGCTTAAACTTGGTCTCTATGGATTAATTAAGGCATCAGGTAACACCCCTGGCATCAGCCTCATTTTAAATCCCTTGGAATCTTCCCTCTCATTCATTTTCTCCTCAGGGAACACAAAAATGTTATATGTATTTTATACTTTTATAAATGATCAGTGATTGCCTTTATTATTTAGTCATAATGGAAATGGGTCTTAGTCATGTGCCTGCTAATCTGAGGAAGTAAAATAATATTTAGAAGTGCCTGCTAATCTGAGGAAGTAAAATAATAGTTAGATTTGAAAAAAAGTTGCCACCATTAAAAACCTTTAATTATTATTATTAAAACTCTTTTCAACAATGCATTAATACCTCTTCAACATTAATTCTGGAAGCTGGAAATGCTTTAAGCAGTATTAAAAACACAGGTCACAGATCTAACCTTCAAAATTAGTAATAATGTAATATTATTTGAAATGCCACTTCATATTTTAGTCATTCTTACAAGTCTACATTGATCTCATTAGCATACTACCTTGTGCTGTGAAAGAAGTCTGCTTTAAATTAAAAAAACTGCAAAAGGATACTCAATATAGGCTCTTGCTCTTTCTAAAATTTAGGCAAAAATATAAATGATAACTATTTAGTGGACACTTATTATAGGCAAAATTTATAAAAGGTGCTGTCCACATTAGCTGTAAAAAAAAAAAAAATGCAGACCTTGTTCAAGATACTTTGAATATAACTGGAGTTAGAAAATAGACCCCCATAGAAGATAACATTAAGCAATAATATTTGGAAAATAAAAATATTTAAAAAGTGATCATAAACACAGAACTAACTGCAGCAGGCAGTGAGGGCACTCAGTTCACATGCAAACAAACAAAAAAAAAAAAAATTCTTTTTGCCTGCCTACTTTAAATTTGGCAATCAAAATTAGCCAGGACTAAGGAGTTGGGCCAAGAGCATTACCAAAGAAAAAACACAAATTCTCAGGAGCAACTGGTATTGGACCATTCAAACAAAATCTTCCTGTGAGTGCTCATCAATGGCTTCTCTCCTAAAATCTTTTAACAAATTAAAAACAAAACTGATTAGTGGCTATCAACTTTGCAGACTTGCTTCCCCTGTTGACACTTTTAAGGCCCATTTGCAGAAACGAAGGAGCAGGGGAGAAGAAGGCAACAACGGGGGTACCTAGGCCTATTGTTCAGAGAGAACTGCAGGACTATCGGAGCACCGCGGGGCGCGCCTGAGCTGCGGCGGGAGAGAGTAGAACCCGGCACAGGTGTGTGTGCGCGGGGCGGGGGGAGTGTTACGGGGAGACAGGTGTGTCAGAGGTGAACAGGTGTACTTGGGGTGGGGGCCGCAGCTAAGAAAACGGGGTCCCATTACCAGACCAAGACGTCGAGGAAGGAGGACTAAGTCATTCCTGAGGCTTAAACCTCTGGGCACTGAGAGTGACTGGCCTGCGGAGGGTCAAAGTGTTCCCACCGGGGTTTGAGGAGGCCGGAGAACAGAGGGTGGACAGTCGCAAGGAAGGAAAGATAAGTCTCTCGAATCGAGGGGCCAGCCTAGAAATCCCCAAACAATGAACAAAGCTCGGGCTGAGTGTGCAGGCAAGTGTCAAGAGGGTGAAGCCGGTGGGCGGAGGGAAACAAAAGACAGAAGCCCCCAAGTGTGGGCCCGCGGCGCAGCGGCGGTGATTACCTGTGAGAGCTGCCGGGGATTGGGACAGCCGAAGAGCGCGGAGCTGGAGCTGAAGCTGATGGCTCCTCGGCGGCTGAGGACGTGCTGGGGGACCGGCCTGTCCAGGGGCAGCACCGGCAGCTGGTAACATACTTCCATTGAATACGCCCGCCCTGCCTCCGCGCGGCGCCCGCCCTGCCGCGGCCGCCGGCCCCTGAGCTGCGAGGGGGCCGCGGCTCAGGGCGCCGGGCCGAGGCGGGGGCAGGGCGGGCGCGCGCCGACCCCGGACCGAGAAGCCGCGCTCACGCCTCCCTCAGCCCAGCCCTCCGTCCCGGTCGCCGGCGGGAAGGAGCTGCGGCGACCGCGGCACCGGTTACCAGGACCCGCGCGCGCGGGGCTGCGGGCTAGGGGGACTGGGTGCAAGCCCGGGCAACACCGTAAAGTCGGAAGGGGAACGTCGCCGCCTCAGGGCTCCTCGGGCCAAGAGGTGCGTGTCCTGGACAGCGGAGCAAGGATGGAGCTGAGCGGTGCAAAGAAGACGGCTGTAGCCAGCGGCCAGACCCAGAGCGCGCGGGCTCGGGACCAGCGACCAGCTCGGGCCGCAGCAGCCGCCGGAGCCCTGCCCCTCCCCTCCCCCGGAGCCTGACTTCACATTCACACTTTGCAGCCGCGGACCCTGCGCCAACCACGGCCGCCGCCACCGTGACGTCACGACGCCGCGCCGCAGGCCCAGCGCCCCGCGCCGCCGTCAAAGCGCCCAGAGAGACAGGCTAGCGGCCGAGGGCGAGAGCAGCCTTCCTCCCGTGCCGCACCCAGCGCTCGGTCCTGGACCCCCCTCCCGCCGCACATCTCCCTCCTCCCCCATTTGTCTCATCCAGTCTCCCCGCAACCCAAGGCGCGTGCGCATAAGCCCCTGCGGTTTGGGGGCATCCCCATCAGCTTTAAACTCTGGCGTTGGAGCGCGCTGAGGGTGTGGGATGGGCTCAGCCCGCTGGAGAGGTGCCATTTCGGTGTAGCGACACCATAAACCCAAAGCACGTGGCGCACTCAGCCCTGACCGCGGGGACACCGCCGGCTTTCCCTCCTTGATAATTCCCGTTCTTGGGCATCGTTTGGGACCGCTGCGACAGTGACGTCAACGGACCTCGCGGGCCCCATCCTCCCTACTACGTCACTGCCAGTCCCTTGGCGGGGCCAAGCTCCAGCGCTCCCTTGACAGGTGAGGCCCCGGGACCCTCCCGGGCCTGCGGGGCGGAGAGGGGAACCAAGAACTCAAGAATGAGAAGGGGGTGAGGGAGGTCTCAGAACGGGTGGAAAAAATCCGAGACTAAAAGAAATAAGAGTATGCAATGAAAAAAAAAAAAGATGATGATATTGAGAAGACAAAGGGAAAAAGGAGACTGCGTGGCCTTCTAATCAAAACTGTTTTTTGTTAGCTTTTCATATTTTTAGAAAACGAGAGAAGGTAAAGAACTCTTCACCAGTTTGGTAAGCTGGATATGTCATTTGCATGTTCATATTGTCACATTTCTCCCCAAGCTGTCAAAGCTTTTCAGCAGGAACTATTTCTAATGCTTTCCATCCTATGATACTTCAGACTGAACAAGCTCTTCCCTGCTGGAAAAGTTGTTGATGTGGCTAACTTCTTAGTTGCAATGACTGACCATGAGCGAGGTGGCAAGCATTGGAAAGTACTAGATACTCTCCAACTGATGATGAGATCCGGTACCACATGCGTGTGATTGGATAAATGGATGAAAGTCTATGAGACCTTTTATCATCTTTCTGTGGCATCTCTTTTATATTTAAACTTTATGTCTCCTTTGTATTCTTCTTCTTTGCTCTTCATTGTTAAAAGAAATATAACCCCCACTGTGATCTTGTGGAATTTGTCTTCACTAGATGATGAAGCAATAAGCTCCTCTTTAGTACAGCAACTGATCCAGCCCATTTTTGAAACTCTAATTATTCCCATAACATCTAGAAAATACGTTAAACATCTGTATGGCTGAGCACTTTCACCTAACCATATTTATGTCTAACAACAAACTCATGTGGTGGTGATTAGTATCTAAATTGAAAGTAGGTTCATGGGAACAAACTTGCCCTACACCTGACAGGTAAGTAGCAAGAACTAACCTCAAGTAATAATTGAATTCTGGGTATGTATAATCGCCCAGAAGATAATATTGGTGTGATATTAGTATGTGCCAAATAAAATGCCTATGTCACATTTAATAGCATCTGAAACTCAGGATGATTAAATTATTTAATATGACTCAGAGCACCAAGTGGGTATATCTCCTTTCATCATAGTAGATTACTCTGCACCTAGTATGAACAAAGAACATAAAAGTATTCTACATACAATGTTAATACAATAGCTACATAAGTTGGGTAATTTTATACCAGCTCTACAGATGAGGAATTAGGTTCTAAGACTGTAAGTTAATTAATTGCCCTAGTGAACTCTGGGTTTCAGAGCCAGGCATTAAGAAGTGTATTAGTTGCAGTTCTTCCAAGAAACAAAACCCATAGTGTGTATGTGTATAGAGAGAGATTTTAAGGAATTGGCTCATGATGGTGGGGTTTCGCAAGTCTGAAATCTGTAGGGTGGGCCATCAGGTCTGGAAATTCAAGTAATATTTGATGTTACAGATAATATTGGTGTGAATCTGAAACCTTCAGGGTAGACCAACAAGCTGAAAACTAGGGCAGAGTTTCTATGTTGGAGTCTTGAGGAAGAATTTCTGCTTCTCTGAAAACCTGAGTCTTTGGTCTCTTAAGGCTTCAACTGAGTGTTGAGGTCTACCCTCTTTAATGAGGGTAATCTGCTTAAAATCAACAGATGATCCATGTTAATCACACCCACAAAATACCTTCAAAGCAACATCTTGACAAGTGTTTAACCAAACTGGACATTATATCCTTGTCAAAGTAATACATGAAATTATCGATCACAGAGAGCAAACTTTAAACCTAAATAATAGAAGAAATCCCATTACCTAAAGCAACAAAAGGACAAGGACCTAAGAATAAACTTAACAAAATATGCAAGATTTATATAAATGAAAGTTCTATATGGGAAAACTATAAAAGTAAACTTGAATGTTTAAAAAGAATGTTCTTCTTGGAATAGAAAGACTTAACCTACTAAAATAATCAATTCACCCTAAGTTAATCTACACATTTAACATGACCTCAGTACATGGTAAAAAAAAAAATAAAAATTATCCAGGAAAATTATGGGGAACCAAAAAAAAAAAAAAAAAAAAGTGAGTTTCTATTAGGGTCAGCCAGCAGTTCTAATTTCAACCAGAACTATAAAGGAAAGAGAGTTCTGGGAAACGTAGTTCCAATGTAGCAAAAATTGATAGTATAAAACCACTCAGAACTTCTCTTGTCACCTCGACCTCATATTATTATCCATAATTAATATTTAAATAAAGCCTTCATCAGAATCCTACTTTAGCCCTTACGATGCAGCTTTCTCTCATACAACTAAAATCAGCTCACTCCTATCCCAAGAGAGGATAAAGAGTCTTCTTTGAGCAATGCCCAGTCCTCCTCTTAGTGGGTCACAATATCCCTTTGACATTCCAAAACATACATAATAAGTTGTAAGGTTAACTACTATTAACAGGCCAGGGATTAAACCCAAGGTCTTGTACATATTAAGCAAGCATCCTACCACAGAGCTATGTACCCAGTCAGAAAAAAAAAAGTTGGTTAATATATATACAAATGTATCAAAATGAGGGAAAATGCCCATAAATATTACAGTACTTATATCTACAACTAGTAAAATTGTCATGGCTACTATTTTTATAACTTATCTTTCTTCTCTTCAGTTACCTGTTTAATATTCCCTTTACCTTCAGTAAATATCTCAGCTGTTGGTAGTTCCTTGCCTTTTGAATACACCTAAACCTGCATTCCTGAAGGATCTGAGCTATTAGAGTTTCTACTTCTGTTGGATTGTGGTAGTTTTCTGTTATGTCACATCACAGAGCCTGGTAATTCTAAGTACCATGTAACATCTCCAAAGAATCTCCTGCATTCCATTCGTATTCCTTCCTTCTCCCATTGTGTAGCAGCTTGGTGTGAGCAATCATTCTGTTTGGAAGGGATCAATCACTTCAGGTAGTTCAATGATCCCTTCTTGGTATGTTGGCTAAATAGCAGAAAGCTCAAAATAGTCAAGTGACTGTCTCATCTTTCAATTTAATTGAACTGTTGCTGGTATGCCCTAGTGGGAGCATTGTTCTTTAGGAGAAGCAGAAAATTACAGAGATGGAAAGCAAAAATTTTGCATGTGCTTCATTAGGAGTAAAAGTGGGGATCCACTCCCAAGCCTACCCCTTGAATCCTGGACCATGGCTGTATATTTGTCACTATTTTCGTGAGCTTTTATGTCGCTGTGGCCAAAAGACCTGACAAGAACAATTTAGAGGAAAAAAGTTTATTTTGCTCACAGTTTCAGAGGTTCAATTCATGGTTGGCAGACTCCATAACTGTGAGTCTAAGTTGACCTCAGAACATCATGGCAGAAGGGCATAGCAGAAGAAAGCAGCAGAACATGATAGACAGGAAGCAGGGCAAACTCAGCACCCCTGAGACAAAATATAAACCCCAAAGGCATTGACCTACTTCCTTCTGTCACAGCCTACTTGCCTGCAGTTACCACCTGGTTAATCCATATCAGTGGATTAATCCTTCTCATAATCTGGTCATTTAAACATTCTCGAATTGTCTCACAAGAGTTTTTGTGAGACACTTAATATCTCAACCATAACATTGTATCCCTAGCTCCCAAAAGCTCATACTTATCTCACAATGCAAAATACATTTAGTCCATTTTGAAGAGTCCCCATAGTCTTAACAGCTCCAGCATTGCCCAAAAAGTCCAAGTCCAAAATCTCATCTGAGACTCAAGGCAAACTATTAAACTATTAACTGTGAGAATAAAAATCAAAAGCAAGTTAACCTATGTCCAATACATAATGACACAGAGGAAGCATTCCCATTCCAAAAGGGAGAAATAGGGATACAGAAAGATGGGATGGGACCAAAACAAGACTGAAATGCAGCTTGGAAAACAAATTCTGTAGCTCCATGTCCAGACACATGGCATTGTGATGTTCTCTCCAAAGGGCTTATGTATTTCCTCCCTTATGGTCTTTTGCTGGTTGCAGCTCACATGGCTTCTTTCTTGGCTATCTCTGCTTGATTCCTACAGCTTTACTAGGCATACATTTCATGTTACTGGTATCTCTTAATTTCAGAGGTCTCTACTATACCTTCACCTTCCTTCTCACATCTTCATGTGTCATCCTCTCAGAAGCAACCTACAAGGACTTCAGCCCTGCTACATTTTGCCTGCCTTCCCAGGTCTTTGAAATCTCAATGGAAGCATCCATGACTCCCTAACTCCATCATCCTGCATTCCTACAGAACTAGTACACTGTGGTTGATCTCAAGGTATGTTACCATTGAAGCCAGAATTAGGTAGATAGGCAAGGGTCAGATCCTGAGAATGGAGGGATTAAAATGTTAATTCCTTCAGAGCCTTTCCTCAACCCTTATCAAGAACCTGCTCCAGCTCCAACCTGTTGCTAAAGTAACCTGTCCCAGGAATTGTCCCTCCCTACAGGGAGTTGTAAAAGTTACTAATTAATTCGCCCTGGGCCCCCTTCCTGCCCGATCACTCCTCCCTAGGAGTGATCACCTGTTGCCCACCTTTGGCCATCCCACCCAGCATTTACTGGGCCTAGTCACATAAGCAGGAAGGCAAGGGAGCAGGAGAACAAGGGAAGTCTAGGACATATAAAAAGGCAGAACATCCTCACTTCTGGGGATACCAGAATACAAGTTATGGCCCCCTTTTTAAATAAACCCTGCTTTATATGCTTATATGCTTGCTTCAGCGTGCTTCTTAATGTTATACTTCAACATGTGAGGAAACAGGACTTATCACTGGTAACCAGCACCATCTCAAGCAGTAGCTAAGTCTCCTAGGACCATGACTGTAGCAGCCTCTGCCTCTGTGGCTGAGCATAGCAAAACAACTTCCTAGGTTCCCTTGTACAAGCTGTGCACTCCAATGGTCTCTTCTCAAAGAAATTTTTACTTTTACTCAGTTGAGCCTGACATGGGTGTGGTCTTGCCAATTCCTGAGATGCCATCTTTCCTAGTGTCTCTTTGGCAACTACTTAGCATATGTTTAGTGGCTGTAATCTCTTTAACAACCACACCTTTCTTGGCCCCAGTTTTATTTACACTTTTCTGGCTAACTTGAAAGTTTTTCAAATCTTTATACTCTGCTTTTTGTTCTTGTTTATTATTGCAAACTTGGTTAAAGGCCACTAGCAATATTCATGCCACTGCCTAAATGCTATGCTGCCCTGAAATTTCCTCTGCCAGATTGATTAGTTCATCACCTTTAAATTTACTTTCTCACAGAAAGTCTCAAGACATGGGCAAAATATAAACAACTTATTTGCCAGAGAGTAGCATGAGAGGAGTCTAGATCAATTTTTTAAGGCCCTCCTTCTCTGAAACCTCAAGCCCAGTCTACTAACCAAATCCTATTGGCACTGTGGTTTTCTGAGCTCCCAACAGAATCACCCATTAAGCTCTGCTTACAACATTCTGAAATTTTTACAGCATGCATCTCTAAACATTTCACAACTCCTTCCACAGATCAGCTACAAAGGTTTTGAACCATACATGCCATTCACAACAATGATCCCACTCCAGGGGTTAGCTTTTGGGTCACTGTGACCAAACGACCTGACAAGAACAACTCTGAGGAAGAAAAATTTATACTGACTCAAGGTTTTAGAAGTTCAATCCATGGTTAACAGACTATATAGCTCTGGGCC